CACAAAAAGGGATGGAAAATACCCAGGGGTGGGATTCAAATTTTTTTAAACCACCGGTTCTGTGGGCGTGGCTAGGCGGGCGCTGCCATGTGACTGGGTGGGTGTGGCTTTTTGGCGGCAGCAGCACCCCTACCCTCCATTTTGGGGCCTTCTGGGCCTCAGGGAAGCCTCCTGGGCGACGAGAGGAATCCCGACACAGCTGATCATCAGAACAGCTAACGGTCGGGAAGGGGGAAAAAAAAAAATACCTTAAGGCAGAGGTGTCCAACCTTGGCAACTTTAAGACTTGTGGACTTCAACTCCCAGAATTAAGGAGTGCCTTAAGGAGTGACTGGGCAGGGAAGAACCCAGTCAGCGACGTTGGACATACACGCATTGTTGTGCATGCATGACAAGGTCTGACTGGGCTGGGAGGGGAAGGGTAGGCGGACGGGGAGGGGCCAGCCAGAGGAACGATTTGTCAGTTCTCCAATTGGTGCAGCATCGTAACAACCGGTTCTAGAGAACCGGTCCAAACTGGTAGAATCCCACTCCTGAAAATACCCCAAGGTAAAATGTTGAGATAAAACAAATTGCAATAAGCGACGCTAATTAAAGTCTTTGAATCTTAAATCTAATCCTATATATCAAAAAAAGGGAAAAGAATGCTTAGGTAGGTGAGATCCGTTGTGGCTTTTAGAAGAAGTCCACAGGTAGTCCTTGATTTAGGACCACTCGTTTAGCAGCACGGATAAAAGCAACTTACAACCCTTTTTCACGCTTACGACCATGGCAGCATCCCCATGATCCTGTGATCAAAATTCAGACCCTTGGCAGCTGACTCGTATTTGTGACGGTTGCAGTGTCCCAGGGTCAGGGGGTCACAACTTTTGCGACCTTCTAGCAAGCGAAGTCAATGGGGGAGCCAGATTCACTTACCAACCTTGTTATTAACTTAACACTCCAAGATTCATTTAACAACTGTGGAAAGACAGCTTGTAAAATGGGGCGAATCTCATAAGTGTCTTGCTTAGCAACGGGGAATTCTGGGCTCAGTTGGTGTCGTACATCGAGGGCAAGCTGTACATTTCATTGCATCCTTCTCCTTCTGTCTCTCTCCCTGAGTGTGTGCAACAATAATGTTGTCTTTTGTTGTTGTTGTTAGATTGACACCTGTCATTAGCAAGATCTGCCTGATAGCAATGGGCGGGATACTTCCTGGGAAGGAGAAATATATATCTTGTATCTTCCCTAAGGAAGCTGTAAGCTATAAACAGACATGGTTAGAGACACCAAAACATTGATATCTCAGCTTTGGCTGTTGCAGCCAAGGTGGTTTATGAGTTGGTCTTTTTGGGGGTGCCCCATGAGTGACCCCACTAGCAAAAGTTGATCAATTGCCCTGCTCCTGATAGAATCCGATTAAGTTAGGCAATTATTTGTCATCTGAATGTTTGCACGGGCTGGGTCCCTTTCAAAATTTCTAAATAAATAAACCTTTTTAAGAAGAATGGATACCATGGCTGGTTTCACAGGTGACATTAAACCTTTGTTTCTCAATCTTGTCAATTTTAAAATGACTGGACTTCAGCTTCCATAATTCTGGGAGTTAAAATCCAGTCATCTTAAAGTTGCCATGATTGAAAAAAAGAGGCATAAGAGTAGAGCATAGAGTAGAGTACTTCATTGTCGTCACTTTAAATTGTCCATTAATCAGCATAAATTAAAATGAAATTTCATTGCATTCAGCTCTCAAAGGTAACCACTGTGCATATATCCTGACACACACACACAACAAAGAAATATCACAATCTACAGGTAGTCCTCAACTTACAACAGTTTGCTTAGTGACCATTCGAAGTTACAACGGCACTGAAAAAAGTGACTTATGACCATTTTTCACACTTGTGACCACTGCAGCATCCTCATGGTCACGTGATTTTACATTGGGATGCTGGACAACTGACTCACATTTATGATGGTTGCAGTATGCCAGGGTCAGGAGATCCCCTTTTGCGACCTTCTGACAAGCAAAGTCAATGGGGAAGTCAGATTCACTTAACAACGGTTATTAATTTCATAACTGCAGTCATTCACTTAACAACCCCGTGGCAGGAAAAGTCATAAAGTGGGTCAAAACTAACACATTTCTCACTTAGCAAAATACATTTTGGGCTCTGTTGTGGGTCGTAAGTTGAGGACTATCTGTAATTTGAATGTATAATATACATGGCAAAAAAAAGAATCCTGCAAATTTACCAGATAGATGACATAGGGAACAAAGCTGTTACAGAATCCGGTAGCCCTGCTAGGCGTACTTAGAAACCTCCTCCCAGAGGGAAACAACAGAAACAGACCATAAAGTGGGTGTGTGGGGTCTCTAACAATGCTTCCAGCTCTAAGCACATACCGCTTATAAGCAGCATCCTGAATGACAGGAAGCGAGCTTTTTATAATCTTCTCCACTGTCCTCACCACTCTCTGTATGGACTTTCTATCTGAGGCACTGCAGCCATCAAACCAAATAGTGACGTCGTTTGTTAAAAGGCTTTCCATCGTGCCTCTGTGAAATGTCGCCAGGACAGAAGGAGAAAGGTGTCCTCTCCTCATCAGACGCAGGAAATGCAGGCGCTGGTTTGCACGCTTCACTAAGGATGACGTATGAAGAAACCAAGTCATATTATAACATATATATTACAACTGGATGGGGTGCTGCGATTGGAGAAAATTTTGGTTGTGTCATAAAAACCTTTCGTGCGTGTTCAAGCCAACCATATGGCAACATTATAAGGTGTGCCAACCATAGTCCCAGCTTTTATAAATAATTAGCATGTATCCTGTTTCAGAGATTAAGATGGACTGAGTCATGTCATTAAGGAGAGCTTTCATTCCTCAGCTAATTTTATTAAAAGCCATAGGCTTTCCTGAGCTACACGTCTCATTTTCTCAGAGGCCTGGAGGAGCTAAAGTGATATAGGATTTACGCTGGATTGAGGCTGGGGGAGGTGGGAGATGGGGAAGACAGAGAAGTTATATAGATACAGTGAGGGATACATATAATTAGTAACATTTTACGACCTTTCTTGTCACAGTTTTTAAGTGAATCACTACCGATGTCAAGTTAGTAACACGGTTATTAAGTGAAACTGGCTTCCCCGTTGATTTTACTCGTCAGAAGGCTGCAAAAGGGGAATCACATGACCCTGGGACTCTGCGACCGTCATAAAGAGGAATCAGTTGCCAAGCCTCTGAATCATGTGACCACGGGGAGTCTGCAACGGTCACAAATGTGAAAAACTGTCGTAAGTCACTTTTAATGTGTCATAAGTCACATACAGCCCTTGTAACATTATTTATTTGTTTATTTATTTATTTAATTTATATTGCCGCCTATTCGCCCATGGCAACTCGAGGTGGTTTACACAATGTAAAACCATATTTAAAACAAAAAACAAAAATAAAAAACAATAAAAACTAACAAAAAGAATCAAACAAATTAGTAATGTACAATAGAACAAAAAAAATTGGGCGGGGGGGG